TGATGCATCAAATTTGTCACACTTTCTAATAAACTTGGAGAAGGAGAGACTACTAGGAAAATGACAAAAGGCATTCCTAAAGACCCTGCTTCTCTTTTTGTGTTACTAAGAATACAGAAACGGCTTCAGGAAGATTGCATTGCATGTTAGATGTTTGATGTGTGCAGTAAAAAGGCCTTTAATATTACCAAAGTAGTCTCCTTAAGCCACAGTTCAAATACCTATTTTAAAGGCATTTGGCATTATATTTAAACAAAGCTAGTGCAGTGCCTGCAGCTGCAAATTGCAGGGAACAAATGCAAATCACAAGAGTTCACACTGCAGGCTCTGAAATGTCATCAAAGCCTCCAAGTACTTTTAAAGAATAAGGTACAAAACACCACCAAGACCCCACAAGCTACCCTGCAGGAATCCATTGCTTTGTACCTGACAGAGCAGTGAACAGAGGAATCCTTCCTTTTTCCAGAGCCTCTATGAAAATTCAAACGATACCAGATACCACACACAACTAAAATGGGAAAAAAACAGTTGCTTTTGGTTTTAATACAACTTGAGTCTTTTTGAAGAGTTAAAACCTTACAGATTAGAGCACAAATTGCACCTGTGCAATGCTGCTAAAAATGGTTAAATTAACAAAAAACTTGTCTGAACATGTTGGATACTGTTGCCAGGAAATTGTAATAGTACAAATCACTATGTAACCATCACTATGAGCTATTTCTTAACTACCACAGCTTCCTATCTTCATTTCAACCTACCGTCCAATAAAAGGTTATCCCCACTTTGTAGGTACAAAAAACACCACCCAAAAAAAAAACGAGGAAGAGGTTATTTAAGAAGTCTAAAGTCTTCATTCTAATTCAGTGATCTACAGAGGGGTTATACATATTCTCTTGCTTCATTTTAGGTACCTGATAAACTTACAACCTGCAATATAGCCAAGGAGTAAAGACACGATTTGATTTTTAATCCACACAGTTTTCTGTAGCACAGAAGTAAGAATAATAGGAGTATTGATAGTTTAACAGCCAGAAAGGATGTAAGCTGGGCACTGAGAGAGATATAAGTTCAAAGCTTGAAATAAAATAAACACACAGTTACACCTACTAGCCTTTTCCTTCTGATGGAGCAGAAGAGTTGCCATGCACTTGAACTGAAGGCATGGAGCACATTTCCTCGCAGGCAGCCTGAATGTGTCAGTCAGAGGCCTCCCCCCGCAGCAGCCACCGCACTGGGCCAGCTCAGCGGCAGGAAGAGAGCTGGCACAGCTCTGCCCCGGCTGGGAAGCTGCACCTGGGGCTGGGGCAGGGAGCAGCTCTGACTCACACTGCTCCTGGGGACCTTCTCTCTCCACTCTGCTTATCCTAACTCACACCAAAGATATTTCTGCTGGCTTTCCAAACGTTTTTGTCTCCCAGCACCTTCTTCCTCCATGAAAAAAATTGAATCTTAAATTGTGAGGCACTCACCACCCTTCACATTCCTCAAAAAGCTTCACACTGTACTAATCCCCTGTGCATGATGAGAAAATTATCATGGTAAATTTTCATCCAGCCAAAGGGTAAAAAAAGCCAAAAACCCAAACCAAACAAAAAAACCAACACCCCACATCACAAATCTCAGATAGGAGCCTAAGATGATCTTCCCTTATTCAGGAAATTCCTGCATTTTGCCCCAGCTATTAATAAAAAAAGTACCAGGGGCTTTTCCAGCTCCCTAAGACTATCACAAACAGGCAAGTTGCAGGCTATTCACATCAGAAAGCATGCAGAGTTGTTGCTTAGCTATATTTAAGTTTCATATCAGCAACGTAGCATATAAAAACACACCTTGCAACACCACTAAGGGAAAGGTATTCAGTTCAAGCCAGGTTCAAAATTAACAGCAGGACGAGCCTTGTTGCACCAAGCCAGGTTAGGAATTGCAATTTGCACTTGTTCAAATGAGCTGTATCACAAAGCAGCTGCTTACTTAAGTGTGTAACAGGAACCCAGCAAGATACATATGACACTTATTCAGCACAAAAACACCTCTTCATTTTCAGCAGAGCTGGTTATAGACAGCCACTCAAAGGAGCAGGGAGAATGTACCATGCAACTCCCCAGCCCTTCTCTCATCCCTGATTCGATTACTCATCCCCCACAGACACCATCACTGTTTACATTGTCATTGTTCCTATTTCTCAATGAGCTATGGGAGTTCCAGGATTGTGACATGGATTGAGAACTGGCTGAACAGCAGATCCCAGAGGGTCATAATCAGTGGCACAGGGTCCTGTGGAAGGCCTGTCACTTGTGGTGTCCCCCAAGGTTCAATACTGGGCCCAGTGTTAACTTGTTCATCAATGACTCAGAGGAAGGGGCAGAGGCCTGCTCAGCAAGGTCCCTGATGACACAGAGCTGGGAGGAGAGGGTGACACCCCAGGGGGTTGTGCAGCCCTTCAGAGGTACCTCAACAGGGTGGAGATGGGCAGAGGGGAACTGTCTGAAATTCAACAGAGGCAAATGCAGGGTCCTGCACATGGGGAGGAATAACCCCCTGCACCAGCACAGGCTGGGGGCTGAGCTGCTGGAAGGCAGCTCTGTGGAGAAGGACCTGGGGGTCCTGGCAAACACAACAAGCTGTCCATGAGTGAGCTCTCCAGGAGCCACGGCTGAGAAGGCCAATAAGATCCTGAGGTGCACATTAGGAAGAGCATTGCCAGCAGGTGGAGGGAGGTGATCCTGCCCTTGTACTCAGATCTACTGAGGCTGCCTCTGGAGTGCTGTGTCCAGCTATTGGCTCCTCAGTACAAGGGAAACAGGAGCTCCTGGAGAGGGTCAGCATCTCTCTTATGAGGAAAGGCTGAGGGAATTCGGCCTGTCCAGCCTTGGGAAGAGACAATTGAGAGGGGACCTCATGAATGTCTGTCAGTATCTGAAGGAAGGATGCCAAGAAGATGGATCCAGGCTCTGCTCAGTGGTGCTGAGCAATTGGACAAGAGGTAACAGTGAGAAACTGATGCGAAGGAAACTCCATTGAATATGAGGAAGAACTTCTTTACTGTGCAGGTGACTGAGCACTGGAACAGACTGCTCAGAGAGGGTGTGGGGTCTGCCTCACCAGAGATACTCAAGAAGTCTCAGGACACAATCCTGTGTCATGTTTCTGGGATGACCCTGCTTGAGCAGAGGTTGGACCAGATGACCACTGTGGTCCCTTCAGCCTGACCCACTCTGTGATCCTGCAAAGCACTTGGTGCTGTGCAAAATTCTGTTGTACTTAACATTAACATTGCTGCAATACACATGGGCCTTGTGATTTTTTTAGTGAACCAATTGATAAAATGGGTACAGGTAAGAAAATGCCTGGCTAAGCACTATTTAAAAACTTTCACTGATGCAGCATGTTAAGTCTCTGCATGATTCACTTGCATGAAAGATCCTCCTCTTAGTGAAAACATCCCTGTGATAAGGTATGCTTCCTATTTAATTGGGCATGCCTGGGAGCTGAGCACACAGCATGTGCGTGGGAAAGGGATGGGACCCAGCCCTGGGAACAAGAAAAGGCTGACTGAGACAAGATCAACATTTTGAGCACATAGCAAAGCAAATCTGGCTTTACCAAGGGACACAACTCCTCTGTGATTCCCAGTGCCCCTGCTTGTTCCACACTCAGGTCACCCTTTTGAGTGTGCTGTTCACTGAAGCGAGAAGAGAGATGAACTGCAGAGCACACACAAACCTGAAACACTCACTAAGGGCAAATGCAATCCAGTTTACCAGTTGGCTTTGTGGGGCTGCTGGCAGCCTGTGTGGTCAGACAGAGAGAGAGCAACTACAGTTAGAAAGGAGAATATGGGACTTGGATGTTTGTCCAAGGCCCTGCTTATGCCCCTGGAAAGCAAATCTTGTCCTGCTTTTCTGCTACATACACAGGTGCCTGGAACACAGCCTGGAAGTCCAAGCTTTTGTCTTCCAACTCTTTTTCAGGCCACCTTCAAAGTTTTTGTTTTACACAGCATTGCCTGGCACCCCTACTGTGCCCAAGCTCAGCCCTCATTACAGGACCGTCTATAAACGTGACCTAATTTTTATGCCTGAATATCAACTTCCTGGACTTCTGCCTCTCCGCAAGGCATGTCCTGGGACAGGATCGTGTACAGCTGCAGCTGGAAACCTGGCAGACTGGCACTGCAGAGAAGCAGCTCAAACAAGCATGGCAGTAAGCTGACCAGCATGTTGAATGCAGGTGCATGCAAGCACAAAGCTCACAAGTTGTCTCAGTCACTAAGCAGTTTAAGAACTGTGCAACATCACCTCGCTACCAATCAGTTCTCTGGGGCATGGCGTAAAACAGCACAGAGAGTAAGAGGGCCATAAAAACTCTTTAGAGCACAGTCCAAATCCCCTCAAATCTATTCTGCTATGCTTCTCCAGTGCAAAACTATTCCAGATTCCAAGAAGAGGAAAAACCTATAGACCAGGCCACTGGCCATGCCAAAACATTGTAGAAGCAACCAAATCTTAAGCAGCATGAATTACCCACAGGCAATCAGCATCAGCCAGCTGAAGACATTTTTAATGTTAACTGTAATAACTGGCATTTTCAAAGGTTACACAGTTAGAACCATAGAATTGTCAAGGTCAGAAGAGATCTTTAATATCATTAAGTCCATCTGCAAAGGCCTCTGTGCTATAACTGACTCAGACCCAGCGCCTTTTGCAGTCCCGCTCACGCTCTACGGGGAGGAACCCCTCACCTCGGCTCACTTTGCTACCTCCCAGGCACACGGGCTACCCCGAGCCGAGGCTGCCACTGCAGCCACGTCTCTGAGTAGGGGCCCAAGGCACTGCAGGGCAAGGAGGAGGCGGCAGAGCTGCTTCCTTCCGAGCTCCAGGCCTCACAGGCGCCGGCCAAGCCCGCTCGCCATCGGCCTCCCCGACCAGGCCCGGCCCGGAGCGGCGGAGCCGCGCCATCACTGCGCATGCGCGGCGGCAGCACGGCCACAGCTGCCGGGGGACGGGAGCGGTCCCGGCCCGGGCGCGGAGCGGGGCGGTATGGCGAGCCTGGTCCCCGCCGCCGCTTCGTCTCCCGCCGGGGCTGCGTCCCGCAGCAAGAAGCGCCCGGCGAGCCCGGGTACCGGCGGCGGCCCCGCTAAGAAGAAGAAGGCGACAGCGCCTGGCGGCTCACAGGTAATGGTGAGAGGGGGGCGGCCGGCGCGCATGCGCGGTAGCGAGCTGCCTTTCCCCGCCCTTTCCCGCCGTGCTGGGAGCGAGTCCCGCAGCCCCTTCACCCCCAGGCTATTCCCGCTCCCAGTGCCGCGGGTATCCCGGGACACGCCCGCCTTCCCCGGCACCCCTGCCTCCTCCTCCTCTCCCGTCCCGCCCGGGCCGGCGGGGCCCTTGCGAGGTTGGGACGCCGAGTGCCGGGCCTTCCTTCGTGCCGCCGTAGCGTGGAGGTTGTGTCCCCTCCCCGCCATGGGCGCAGCTGGGCCGGTGGTGGCAGTTCCCCCTTCCCCGGGCGGGTGTGCGGCCCGATGAGGCAAAGCTTAAGCGGGATGCCGTGGAAGGAGGCTGCGTGTGTGAGCAGCGAGATACCGCGTGTGGTGGCACACGTGTGGTGGGTGACACGTCCCGAGCAGCCGCCCCGCAGCTCGCTGTTCCCTCCCTGCGCTCCCTCCAGCAGCAGCAGCTCCGTACGCGGGGTTGTGCCAGCTCCGTACGCGGGGTTGTGCCGTGCCGGAGCTCCCTGCGTACCCCAGATTCACACATCTCCCACCCTGCGTGATGCTGATTGGAGTGTGAGGCAGCCGGGCTGTGGCGGAGGAGGGACTGGTGCTGGACAGAGCACAATCCAGGAGCCGCTGGGTCTGCTGCGTGCAGCGCACGTGGCCTCCTCTCAGTTGGACTGAGTGGATAGAAGATTTATCTGCATGTGAAATGAAGATATAACCTCAGAGCCCGAGTTTTGGGGAACAGGGTCAATCAGGGAGAGAGGAGGGATATTAATGTCAATTTGTCCTAAACTCCAGAACTCAATCCCAGTGGGTGTGCAGCCTCATTTTCTGCATTGTGTCACACCAGCACCGATCCCCAGCTGATGTCATCTGCCTCCTGATGATGAGGTGTAGATCACACCATTATAGAAATAAGCAATCGTTCAAAAAAGTTCTGTTCTTCATCTGCCTCTTGATGATGAGGTGGCATCTCATGTTCCAGAATGAAGTCCTAGAAGATGTTCAGAGTCAGCGTGTATATGACATCTCTACAGACTTGAGATGCTCTTATGTCTTGGATTACTTCCAGAGAGATTTTGATAGCCATAGTGGTCAAAAGAGGGTTGGAAAAAATGGCAGACTCCTTTCTTCCCCCAAGAAATGATTCTTGTCAGTAATATTTCATGAGCTATAACAGTAGCATAGCTACAAAGTCTGCCCTACTGCCAGTTAGGTTACTTGTTACTTAGGTTACTTGTTTTCACATCAGGAAAAATGCTCATGCATTTTTCAGCAATCTTCTCTCCAGGCAAATAGAAGCCATTGTGCACGCACGAGAGCACAGACACAAAGTCTTCCTCCTTGGAATGATGCTCTTGTTTTCACCCCCTGGCAGTTACATGGTTTCTTTTCTGGTGGGTTTATCCTAGGACAGGGAGTACACACCACAGTGCTTAATGTCACTAACAAACTGCACCACAACTGTGAAAAATTACTGCCTGACATGATCACGTTTGACAACTTTTTCAAGGTGTGATAGAGACGATGATCTGAATTTTCCAGTGTGGAGCAGTCTGTTCTGTGCATGTGTGTGTGTATGCAGATATAAAGCATTATATACTGATATATAACTTAAATGTGTATAAAGGAATTTGTGCTTAAGACTTCCCCACACCCTTCAGCCTCTAAAACTGTTTTCCAAAGTTCACACCAAACTTAATCTTGTGGATAGTTTCCAGTGTTATGAGACAATCCGTGATTTCTTACTCAAGCTGGGTTTCAATACTGTGTGACAAACAGTTTTTGTAATTCTTCTCACAAGTCATTTCAGTGGAGAAAGAAGTAATTTCTCAACACAACATCCAAGTCATCGTACGCATTCATTGACTTCAGCTGTGCAGATCAATCCCACAAGGAAAATAAAAAAATGCCACAGAAAATGTGTAACCTCAGGAATGGGACAAGAAACAGCTCATTCTAGCAATCTCATTCAATGTTGTTGGCTAGCTCTGGAGTTAGCCACTTCAAACAGAAATGACATGGGAGCTCTGCATGTTTTGAGTTTAAAATGTTGATTATGCCATAGCTCACCAAAATATGTCATGCCATAACTCAGCATTAAATGGTTTGTTTTTTAAGTAAACTGACATTATTTCCTTGGTTAGCTAGCAGACTGCAGGTAAGATAATCCCTACTGGAAGGTTTAAAACTACCTGCAGGGGTCAACTTAGATCTGGGGACCCCCTGTTGTATTAAGTAACAACTTCTGCTAAGAACCTTGTGCTGGCCTGTGTGACAATACGCTTTCCATTGTGCCAACTGTGAACATCCCCGTGTCTCTGATTCTGTCTTTGTGAAAATAAACAAAAAGGGATTTTTGTTAGTTCTGCAAATTGTATACTTAGATTTTTTCTCATGTGCTCTCTGTCACAAGCAACTGTCACAATGCTCACCCTGAAAGACACTCTGGTCTGATAAAACTGCAAATTTTAAGAATGTGTTCATTTTTTTATATAACAAATTTACTTAAGAAGAGCAGTGTAATCAACTAGTTTGAGTGACTCTGTGTATCCTACAAGAAGGCACAATTATCACACAGCATGCAGATTTTTATAAACCACATTTTGATTTTGTTTCTCCAACATGTGAATTGCTACTTTCTCTAAGATACACCTTAGGAACATCATTACCAAAAAACATTCTTCATCTTTTTTTTTAGAGTGTTGTGCTAGTAACACCAAGGTTCTGGGTTCAATTCCCATATGGGCCATTCACTTGAGAGCTGGAATTGATGATCCTTGTTGGTCCCTTCCAACTCAGAACATTCTGTGTGATTTGTGTGAGTTACCGACCCAAAGGTATTGAGTCATATTTGTTTTGGAAGCACATTGCTCATAGGGCTTGTCATTCATGTCTGCAGAAGGAGACACATGCTTTTTGGACATAATGCCTGTATTTACCAAATGTAATATTAAAAGTGGGTTTACAGGAAAGCATGATTGCAAATTGATTACTTCACTTTCATCAGCATTACACAATTATTCCTCCCATGTTGTTGTGCCGCTGCAAAATACCTCAGTGTGTGCTGCGCAGCCCTGTTGAGGACTATTATGTATATTAAATGGTAACATTAATGTGTCAAAACCAGTGCTGTGTAGTGATTTATACAGCACAATTCCCTTAGATATCCCTGCCCAATGGTTCCCAGTAGCTGCTGATTCACCTCCATCCCTGGCTCTTGTTCAGACTTGTTTCCAGGTCTCCTGTCTCATTAATTACTATCACTTAACCTGGGATAGAATCTTTGATACTGATCTTAAAATGCCACCAGTTGCTCTACCTTAATGTTCACACCATTATTTTTATAAATTATACTGCAACAGGAAGCTTTTAAAAGAGTATATTCTAGATCAAGATGTAAGTAATAAAGAAAAATGCTTTTCTGTGACAGCTGACAATCTTTAAAGATAGAATTTGCAGTAAGATAGGAGAATGATTTGGAAAAAAAGTTTATGATTTTATCATAGGAAAAATTAAAGAGAGAAATTATGCTAAATAATGTGGTAAATTAAATTTGCTTACATTATTTGTGAAATAACTTCAGACTTAAACTGGTGAGATATTTATATTGATTTTATCTATAATTATTATTATTTGAGCAGTACTACTGATATGTCTGCTTAATGCTTTCTGTATTTCTCATTCTATGCTTAAAAGCAAAAGCAACAACAATGTTAGAAAATAAAATCAAACTGGTTTTGTTACTGTGCTGTTAAATAAGCTCATCTAATGCACCACACAAAAATAAATGGAGTGACTCTGACACAATTAGAACTCTATTTTTATTTTAGATGTATCTGTATTATGATGTTTTTATCTCGTAAACTGAAGATCATCAAATTTCACAGTTCTGATAGACAGCTGTAAGTTCAATAAGTGGACTTAAACATATTAACATGGTTACTGTTATGTACTCAAAAGCTACCCACTAAAGGCAGGGAGCTTATCGTAGTACATAAACAGCACAGAATTTGACCCTAAATTTCAGTAAATTTAATCCATTTTCCTGCCATGCTGTTTTACCAAGCCTAGCACTCTTAGTAGGAAACCATCAAATCAATTTTAAAATAACTTTTTTTTAAAGAGCCCATTTGATTTGGCTGTTGGTTCCTGAAAATCAAGGTTAGAGGGAATGAGTTGAACTACAGAATTGGCAAGTACCACTCGAGTTACTGAGCTGAGCTGCTGCTGTCACCATGTTCTGGGACAATCTCCTAGGGCACCTCCTTCAGTGTGCACAGTATGACAACTTTCTGAGTGAAAATTAAAAATTACCTACTTACCACTTCAGACCTTGCTTACTGCAATCAGTATGATAGCAAACTAATTCTACTTATTTTACTATTAGGCTTATTAGACTTACAGACTTTCTGCTAGACTATATTAACTTTCTGCTACAGAAAAGCATGATTCTTCTTTATAGTTGGGAGTTTAATAAACAAGTAGCATTTCTCACCAATCCACCTGCCCTAAAAGACAGAAGGAACCTGACACAGCATACTAGTAGGGAGATATAAGTACATATTGTTTGCCAATTTATTAAAAAGCTATCATGTCATTATGCTCTAGACTACACTCTTTGTTTTAAAACCTCTCATCCTGTAAGATTGTAACAGTAACCAAAAATACATGAATTTAACCAGTGAAGCAGTTCCAGTCTGAGGCTACTGCTTGCCTGGAATGGCATCTTTAAAAGATACAGTGTGTTCCCACGGGATGTTAATTCAAAGCTAATGAAATTGATTTAAATGACACTTCCATTGGATAAAATACAGATACCATGATAGATTGCAGGTGATTGCTACTTACTGATAAAAACTGCTAAGGTGAGTTCTTCGAGTTCAGCCACTTGCACAATTGTACCAAACCCTACCCAAGAGTTTTGGCTCTTACAAAACTGGCAGCCAGTCCAAAACG